AATTCCCATTTAATTGCACCATTTAAAATTTACGTTTTAATGATCAGAAATTATTGATTTTCGGCCAACTCTGCCACAGATGGTATTAGTTTTTGATGAACCAACAAAACCATCCACCTTATGTACCATTTACATAATATATACTACCAGTATTCAACATAAAATATCTTTAAGATCACATCGAAATTGGGTTTATCAGCGTTAAATGCAATTGTGTGGATGATAAATAATCCTAGTTTATTTATTTTATGTATTATTTTATTAATTTTTTATTTATTATTATTATAATTATTATTTATTCTTATGTGCATTCGAGATATCGCACATAAAAATTCATGTCAGGGTTCAAGTATATTCAAACTCTAATCGAAATAATTTTTTTTAATCTGTAAATATTTTGGTTAATTCAATGTTGCTTCCAGTGCAGTGAAAATCTTTCGAATGTCTAAATGCTCTTACGTAAAACATATAAATACATGTACATGGATATCTATCCCTCCCAGAAAGTGCATTCAAAGTGCGATCTTGTCTACAATAAAATATATATTTAAATAATTCCCAGGACACAACGCATCTGGGAGGGCATTGCCCGACGATTGGTTATTAAAAGTTGTTAACATTGTTGCGCCAAAAAGAAGCTGCAACAGAGTTGCCGCGGCATAGTGTTAAATGTATATTATTATTACACTAGACTCTACGAAGCCACGCACACAGGACGACCCACGGGGACCCACAGGAGCTGTGAACCCATTTAATTAAAATAAATGCCATCGAAAATGAAAAGTTCAGCCACATCAATATCCCTTCGAGGAAGTATCGGAGTATGGGAAGTCTCAGCAGAAATCCCTCAAAAAGCAGAAAGGCTTAAAAAAGAATTGAAAAAACTGTGGCCAGTGCTCGCGACTTGGTGTAACTTTTATGCATTTTCCACAGAAAATTAAACAACGTCCGCACGGAGGAGAAATTTGCAAATTATAATTATTTCGTACCTGGGACTAAAAAGGCAAATTTGCCTTTCACTCAAAAAGTACGCGATTTTGACGAGGCGGCTCTCCTCCGGCTAACACACTTTGGAGAAGCTGTAAATGGCAATGGGCAATGGGCTATGGGCTATGGGCTATGGGGTGGTGGAAATTAGAGGTGGAAGCTGCAAGTGAAGTTAGCCAAGGTGCTGGAGCCGCACTGGAAGAAGCCGCAAGGCTGCTGGCAAAGCGGCAAATGCATTACAAGCGCCAGCGGGGGGGAGGGCCCAGTTTGCCACTGGGCAAACTTCAATTAAGGCTTAAAACTTTCAATTAAAAACTTTGTAGCGCGTGCGAAAAAAAACTCGGGGGATACTCCGAGTGCAACAGGGAAAAGCAGCGTGGGCAGGGCAGGGCAGGGCGGGGTGGGGCTGCTGCTGCTGCTGCGCAAGCGGTGGAAAACTTTGGAAAACTTTGCTTATATTGATATGCATTTTAAGCGAATTAGGTTGAAGGATATTACGAGTTAAGGTGAGCCAGAGAGATTCACCTGGCTAATTAGGGGACAGCAGTAAAGGACATAAACATGGACATGGACATGGAGAAGCAGCAGAGAAAAGATGTTCGAAAGAGAGATTAAAGCGAGAGAGCACAAAGATACAAATGGAAATCAGAGCTGCTGGGGCAGGGAGGAAATGAAAAAAAGGAGCTGCAATTAGAAGAACATAGAGACATACAATAGAGTGAATAGAAGTAAAAGCAGAAGCGGGAAGTAAGAGCAGACGCAGTTCTAGAATCCAGAAATCTTCAAGGGAAAATACCTCATAGTTGTAGAAAATATTTAACGATAAAGGTGAAGGCTAAAGGTGAATTTTCAGACTTGCCATGGGGTGCCAAAGTCTCAGATTTCTTCCCAGAAACCCTCGTAATTGATTTATTTTCACCTTGCCAGAATTCCAGCCAATTAAAGTAAGCCCCCAAAGCAACGTTGAACCTCTGCAGCTTTAAGACAGCGTCTGGCCCAAAGAATTGTTCACCCTGGCAGTAACTTAAGCACAAAGGGAAAATCCCACGCCCGGCAGACTCCTACCGACTCCCGGCCATATGGCAAACACTTTTTAATTTTATTTTTTTTGTCGGCGTCGACTCGAAAGTTTTGCTGCTTAAATTTTGCAGTTTCTTTTCGGGGCGACGCTCCGCTGCGGCCTGCACAGCCGTCGAATGCATTTTTAATGAATTCCATGAGAAAAGGTGAATGTAACATGCAGCGAGAGAGTTGCAGGTGGGAAAAAAAACACCCAACCAACCAACCAACCAACCAAACGCCCACCCGAGGAAAATGCTACAAAAAATTGAAAAGCGCAACTTTGACTTTGCCGCTGACGCTGTGTATCCTCTCTTCCTCGCTCTACTCACGACCCTCCGCTCTTTCCTCACACAACAAGAACAACTACAATGCTGTCGGGAGGGGGGAAAAAGTCTTAATTGAATTAAACTTTTTAGCTGGAAAAGTGCGCAGACGATGGGTAGGGAAAAGGTTAACCAATTTTTAGTTGCTTTTATTTTTATAGTCTTGGAAAAATGGTAGGAAAGATTTTGCACATTTTACCTGGAGATTTCTAAGTTAAGAAATATTTTTAAGCCTAAGAGAAAAATTTTCCATAATTTCCATAAAAACTTTCGCTCAATTAGAGAGCATCAGGGAACTTAATTGATTTAATAACAATTAATTATGAATAATACCCCATTCCTAATGCTTATTTACCATATTGCATTCCCCTGTTTTTTGTCTATATAAATTTTACCCCTTAATTGAATTTCGCTGAACGGATTATATATTCACACAATTGCCCCACTAAAACGGCTTCATTTCGGGCAATTTCCGCTCTCTAAGTGCCATTTTCTGAAATTATTATAAATCATTTATTTGTTCAGCGAAAAAACAGAATACTAACAACAAAACACAGCAATAACAGAAACAACAAAACGGCAGATAAAACCCTTACCGTGGAAACAATTGGAAATGCTGTCAGTCAAAGGTAAATAACACGAAAAACGGAAAATCGGAAAATACGGACAATAATTGCGCATTAAAATTGACGCTCGAATAGAAAATGTACAAAAATTAACTTCATTTCCGCTGGAGAGGGGGGGCGGGGGTGAGCACTGTGCAGTGTCAGAAATAAACATAAATATGAAATGAATATGCCGTGAATTTGGTTTAAATTGAAAAGAGGTAAGTGACAGGCAAGGAGGGTGGTCTCCCCCTTACCTGTTGTTTTGTTGAATTATTACACAGCATTTCCATTGGGGCTCTCTCCTCTCCGTTCGAGTTGTTATTAATTTCAATTATTTGGCATTAGGGACAGGATGGGTTGGCAGTGGAGAGAGAGAGCAGTGGGGGAATGGCAGTAGCAGAAGCTGAAGCTGGGGGAGTGGCAGTTGGAGGAAGCTGAAGCTGAAGCTGGGGGGATTGACTGGGGCTTAGTTTGCTGACTTATTAGAGCTGACATATGTGAGCCATAAAATGCAAAACAAACAGAAAGGAAAGTTCCCCAGCTCCAACTCGAACGAACCGCAGTGCGACAAACCACAAAAAAACAAACAAAAACAAATGGAAAACAAGTCAATTTTTATGGCATACTTCTGGGCGCACCGCAGCTAAGGGCGAACGAACGGTAAAAAAAAACCCTGAAATAGATGCCAAAAGTAGGCTGAGAGGAAATCACGGGAGGAACCGGGCAGAACCCACGGCACAAATGTTGCCAAGAATTGTAATAAAAATTTTGATTGTGTGTGTGTGTGTATGTGTGGTGGGCTGGGGGAGTGACAGATGTGTGTGTGTGCAAAAATATTTATGGTTTCCAATATGATAAGCAAAATAGCAGAGCAAAGGAAAGGTGTAAGGGGGGGACTAGCAGATATCCATGACTTGGGTTTCTTGATGTCTTTATTCACTTTTATAGGAAATAATAAAGTAAGTTTTTGTGAGATTTAAAATAAAAATAAAAAAATATGTAAGAATATTTGGAAAAGGGATATATGTACATACATATGTATGTATGTGCTTACCAGAATATTAGCTTGCAACTGATAAAATCAGTAAGAAACTTCTTCAGGCGGATCCTCAAAGTTTTTATATATAAAAATTTCCAAATTCTGGAAAGATAAAGATACAGAAATCAAGTAAATTAGTAATTAGTTTAGAGAGTAAAATAAGAGTGGATTTATTATTAAATAAAAAACATGTTAAATATTTTTAAAATGTGAGTTGTGTCATGTTAAGTTTTAAACTTATTTCCAAGAGTATCTTCATTTCGGTTTTAATCAAACGTTTACTTTCGATTTTTTTTTAGATCTTTAACGCTTCTTCTAATACTTTCAATACTAGTTTCAACATTAAAAATATGTTTTAATGCTGAAGCAGGAGAAAAGTGGTTTCCCCTCGCCTGTTGCAATGGTTGATCTACTGATATTTTGACAAATAACTTCGTTGATCACGTGTTTTGCTTTATTGCTTTAAAATTCGCGTTTATTATCATTTCTGATCATAATAGCTAAAAAACTAATAGTATTAAGCATCTCGAAATATTACTTTCCTACTGAAACGAGCGCTTTAAGCACGAACCGTTTTCCGCTGTAGAGTGTTTGCCACGATCCATGACACCGGTACCAAATGACCAAAGACAAAACTGAAAAAGCTTGAAACTGTTAAATAAACCATTCCAGTATTATTTAACAACGAAAGTGTTGCAAAAATTTAAGTAGATTTCATAATTTTCAAAATTTTCGGTAGCACACATATTATTTGGACCGCATCGAAATGGTGATATTTATCAACAAATCTCGAAATGTAACGTAAAGAAAAGAGATAGGCTAGTATAACTTTATAATCAAGGACGGCAATGCTTAATATTTTTACGAGTAGAGAAATAAATTCGACTGTTGAAGGAAGAGCGGAAAATATTAGCAATATGTAAAAACATTTCGACAGCAACTGTACCTAGAGATTCTACTCGAAAACAGTACATCACCGCTCTCTTCCAGCCACAGCATTCCCTGCCACACTTTTCATTTATATCCTACAAAAACCCAGTCATGATTTCAATATCAGTTCGTAATCAAGTCAGTCTTGAATAGAAACCAAAGATAAAACCAAAGACAAACCAATAGCCAAAAGTAGAGGCAAACTAAATATATTTTTTATACAAGAAGCAGCGCAGGGAGCAACCAGGTGAACAATAATTATTAAGCCGAATTTCAGCTGCTAAATTTCCCCCAAGCCAGCATGGCGGATGATCGCAAGAGTTTCAAGGCGACAACTGTGCAGGTGCGCCTGGGTGTTAAAAAGGCCAAGCCCACAGATGTCGCCGAAAAGCAGGAGCAGGAGAAGCACAAGCACAAGGAGCACAAGGACAGATCGGAGCGTGTGCTGGGCAAGAATAAGTGTCCGCCGCGCAAGAGTACCGGCAAGAAGACCAAGGAGCAGCGAATCATTCAGCAGTTTCGCAACATTGACTTTTCGCGCAAGGACTCGGACCACCAGCTGACGGTGCAGACGCTGGAGTTTCCCGATGCCAACATCAAGCGCACGGATCTGCACCGGCGGGACGAGTGCGGCCAGAGTGTGGTGCGCAAGAGGGGTCGCGACTTCGCCAGCTCCAGCAACTCGCATTTCCGCGATGGCGTGCAGACGGTGAAGATACGGAAGCAGAGCTGCACCTCGACGACGGCATCGAGCCAATCGAGCAGTCGCGTGTCGTCGGCACGGCCCTCGGCCCCGGTGCGCGGCATGCCCGACTCGCAGGAGATGATCGACTCGCTGCACGAGCCCTCCGAGCGACCGCCGTTCTTCAAGGGCGAGGTGTGGAAGAAGCCGTGTCCGGCCAGCTTCATTGCCGGCGCCCCACGCTCCCACATCGGACGCTGTCCGGATAACTACAATCAGCTGGCGAAGCTGCGTCCGTCGCGCCAGAAGTTCTTCCTCACGCAGGACCCCCGGCAGACGCACTGCCTGGTGAATCCTGTGGCGCTGCGGCACAAGCCGCTCACGAAAGTGCAGGAGTACGAGGTGATCAGCAAGATGGTGAAGCACGGCGATAATCTGTGCGCCAGCACCGGTTCCGAGGGCTCCGATTCGCACATCAGCGAACTGATCGATCTGCAGAATCCCTTGAACTTGGACTTCCATGGCATGGACTACAAGAACACGTACGAGCAGGACGAGAACGAGCAGGAGGACACGCAGACCTATTGGCGCGTGAATCGGTACATGGCCCGGCGGGCCACCAAGCAGAACACCCAGGTGAAGGTGGAGGCAGAGCTGAAGGCGGAGCGTCTGGCGGTGCCCCGACGCTTCACCACCCTCATCAAGGACGAGCCGATGCAGGAGGAGCCGGTGGTCAAGTCGCCACGTCTGGTGGATCTCTATCGCAGTCCCGACAAGCCCGCAAACAAGAGGAAGATCGACGAGGAGCGCGCCAGGCGTGAGGCACGCTACAAGGACATTTATTTGCGCAACAAGCAGCGCACCTTGGAGCAGGAGAAGGAGCGCCAGAAGCAGGAGGCGGCCGAAAAGGAGATACAGGCACGCACCGTCGCCGAGCAGGATCTGCGCGAGGATCTGGCCATCATCGACGATGCCATCGAGCGGAGTTTCCGCAAGAATGTCGAGATCAAGCCGGTGGTGCGCAATCGCAAGGTCTTCCCCAAGACCCTCACCGAAACGGAGCGCCTGAAGGCGGTCATGCATCGCGAGAACTGTGTGGCCCGGGACAAGGCGAAGGTCACCCAACAGTTCTTCCTGGAGCGCACCGGCAAGCTGAAGGAGCTGCGCGCCGCCGAGCAGAATCTGCGCTGCGAGGAGAGCATCGAGGGCAGCGTGGGGTCCACGCCCAGCGAGCAGAGCAGCGACGATGAGGACTACCTGAAGGTGGGCAAGATTGGTGACCATTTCCAGCTGCGTGGCTTCCACTTCAAGCACGGCGATGGGCTGCGCGGCAAGCTGCATCGCCACCAGATCATGCAGGGCCAGCGCACGGTCAAGGGCTGTCTGACGCGCGAGGAGTGGCTCAATCAGCTGGTGCCGCACAAGGAGCCCATCAAGCTGGACATCGAGCGGGGCATCATCAAGGTCATGGATCCCGACGATCCCAATTTGGATCTGTTCCCGCCGTTGCCGCTCACGATGAAGCGCCATGTGCGCCAGAGCGCCGTCCGGGAGTTCATTGACAAGCGGCTGGGCATGCACTACCATCGATTGCTGCGCAAGAACATCAAAGTGATCAAGCCGAAGCTGCAGTACAACGTGCGCAAGTTCAATCTCATTCGGTATGTCTTCCCCGAGAAGGTGATTGTGTTCGAAGACCGCAATCAGGTGGATGTCGCCGATGTGGATGTGCTGGATGCCACCAAGACCACCACCACACTCGAGTATCTGAATCTAAAGCAGAAAATAGCCTCGATCAAGCGGCACAAGAAGAAGCTGGCACGCATGGAGCTGCTGGGGCTGCCGTGTCAGGAGATCAAGAAGCAACAGCTGCGGGATCTGGGCCAGGACGAGGGCGATCACGAGGAAATCGAAGTGGATTGGGTGCCAACGCCAGAGCCACCCTACGATCAGTCGGCGCACACCGATGAAACGGGTTCGAGCGCGAACAGTCGCCTCTCCGGCGGCTGCGACACTCAGCGGAAGGACCTGCGCTGCTTTATGCCCCACTGGAAGCGTCAGGGCTTGCTGCAAACAGCCAGCAACAACAACAATCAGAAGAATCGCAACCGCAACAGAAACTGGAGCAACAGCATTCTCCGGGGACGCGTGTCGCCCCGGGAGGAGCCCGAGAGCCAGCAGAAGAACACCAACCACGACAGGTATTGGCGCAACAGCATCATGCGGCGACAGAGCACGCCCGATGGTCAGCAGACGGTCGCCTCGATCTTTCGCAATAGCCGAAATCGCGAGGGCTACTGGCGCAACAGCAAAATGTGCGGCCAAATGTCCTCCAACGGACGCCTGTTGGCCGGTGCCGGGTACCAGCCGATGCGCTATCGCGGCAATATGCCGGCACCACAGCTGCGCGAGAAAACGCTGACAATCCATCCGCGTCGTCGGCGCGACTACGAGGCCGAACGCATCCCGTCGGCCCTGTTCAACGAGGTGCTGCCCTACTCCCCGGTGCCGCTGCTGGAACAGCCCGAGCCAGAGCGCATACGCCTGGCGAATGTGCGCAAGAAGAAACGTCGCTATACGGACATCTTTGAGGCACGCCACCACCACGACCACTGGGCGCCCACCCAAGTGAAGAATGTCCATGTGCAGTACCAGAACAAGACCGTGCATCCGGAGATCACGACCGTACTGAAGCGGATCAAGGAGCCGGTCATTAAGTTCGACAAGGCCAATCCTCCGTGCAAGCAGCACATCAACATGGACCTCACCATGCCGCGCTATGACTTTGAGACGATCATCCACGAGCATCTGGCTGCCACGCGCACCGACAACAAGGAGGCCGCGGGTGCGGTGGTGCAGGATCTTTGCTATCCGCATGACTTTGTGTTTCACTCCAGGGATCCGGAGGAAATAGCCAAATTGGATTTCCCTGGCCGGCGGCAGTATTTGGAGTTTCTGCGCGAGACGCGCGAGGCCATCTACGAGACGAAGGACATTGAGCCGGGCGAGGAGCGGCTGCTGGTGGACCGCAAGGCAATCACCGCTGATCTGGAGGAGGATTTGCGCAGCATTGAGAACTGCCTGAGTTCGCTGAGCAGCTCCACGTGCACAGATCTGTCGAATGACAGCGGCAGCTTTCTGGTGGTCGAGGGCAAGACCAAAATACCCCTGGACTACATACGGAAGCCACTGGTGCCGTTCGAGGAGATGCGACGCTCTCGGTTCCATACCACGGTCATCGATGTGAATGCCGAGGACGAGGATCCGTATCGCATGCTGCCGTTTTCGGGCCAGCACAAGGAACAGTCGGCCATGATGGGGCCCAAGGACACGTTCTTTACGTTCAGCACACGGCTGCGGAACAGTCTGCGCCTGCGCCTGGAGGTGGAGGTGCCCGATGTGCGCAATACACTGCTGGGCCCCGGCAATCGCAAATATTATGGCGCTGTGATCACAGATCTCGATGAGAACTACATCGAGGAGCTGAAGAGTCGCGCCAATGTCAAGACATTCAACTTTAAGACGGGCATTGAGCTGCTCAAGGATGCCATGCGACTCAAGTACGAGTCGCTGCTGATCCAGGGCCAGATGGTGCGCACAAAGATCTACGATCGGATGAACGAGCGGCATTGGGTGAACATGAAGAACACCAAGAACCTGTACGAGGGACTCTTTGCCAAGTGGCAGAAGAAGGAGTACAATGCGGCCATGACGCTGGTCTATCAGGTGAAGGCCTACTACGAGATCACCGACAAGCTGAAGCAGCAGTTTCGCGAGCTGGAGCGTGAGCTGATGATGCTCAACATGGACATTGTGTTCATTGAGGGCCATTGGATACGCTGCATAATGCTGCAGAATTTTCACTACCTGATGGGCGATCAGGACTGGCGCATGGAGCACGATTGGATACACCTGCTGCCCACCTCGAAGCTGGGCAAGGGCGAGTCCGCCGAGGAAGTGGCTGAGGAGCAGGAGCAGCAGCAGCAGCAGCAGCAGCAGCAGCAGCATCAGCAGGAGCTAGATGTGGCGGAGGAGCAGGCGGCGGCAGAGCAGGGGGAGCCGGAGCATGTGGTGCACGAGCTGGAACGCGCAGACATTTCCATAGCCAGGCGAGCCATTGTCAACATTCGTGTGCGCGACAAGGACGATGCGTGGGCCATACGCGCCTTCTACTACGACGTCTACATGCAGAAGATCCATCCCATTCTGCAGGTCTTTCCCGATGCCGAGGCCTTTCTGCAGGGCGTGGATAACCTCAAGACAAAGACCTTCATGACCCTACTGGAGATGCACTTTACGCTGTCGATTCACACGGAGCTGCAGGGGCGACTGGAGACCTTCATGGACTGGTGCAGCAAGCACCTCAAGGAGAAGGAGGAGTACGTGGCCCGCAAATCGGCCAAGAAGTTCTTCATGGAGGGTCGTGCCATCGAAATGGAGCATCGTGTGCTGCACTATCTGGACAAGCCCATCGAACAGTCCTTCGCCGACGAGGAGTTCAACAAGCATCGCGCCGTCATCGCTGAGGTGTGGCGACGCGTCGTGCCGGACACGGTGCGTGGCACCAGCGATGTGGTGCCCTGCACTGCCGATATGGTGGCCGGCGTCAGCGATGTGGTGATGGAGCTGCTCGGCCGATTCGAGCACATGGACATACACAAGGTGCGCGAGGTGGAGCTGTCGCTGCGCAAGAAGCGCCGCTATCTGGAGAAGATATCGGCGCAGGCCTACCAGGTGGAGCGGCGCATCGAAATGGAAATGAAGAAGGTGAAGCGCAACCTGGAGCCGCCGTACAAGCCGCCCAAGCGGGAGGGCAAGCTGCCGCGACTGTTCTTCAAGAAGCGCGTCGTGCATGTGCCGGTGCCCAAGCTTGTCGTCTCGGAGAACACAAAGAACTTTATGCGCGCGTTCAAGGATGATGGCGAAGTGATTGCCGACTCGCTGACACAGGACTCGCTGCTGGTGGTGGACAACATGCAGGAGCAGATAGTGCCCTTCTATTTCGATCATTTCCTCAAAATCCACGGCTATACGCCCAACTATAACTTCAAGACGAACATCGAGCTGCGCGACGGGCCCGAGGTGGCTCGCCTCAAGATCAAGGAGGTCATACCCGATGTGCTGATTCGCCTGGAGAACTGGGAGCTGACACACAAGAAGATCATGGAGGAGAATATTCAACGTAATCCCAAAATGTATGAGAATATTAGCTAGAGATTTTTTAGCTATTTTATGCGCAATATTTAATAATATTTAATAAATTACAAGTGAGAGAATTTTGTGCGATTGGTGCAGGGGGGTACAGGTGGGTACAGGCGGGGTAACCCGAGGATTCCTTTTTGGTTACAGTTCGATAGTTTTCTGGCTTTTGTGTTTTTCCTTTATTTATATTCTTTTTTTTTTTTTTGTGTCCATTATAAAAATCTTTTTGAAAGTTTTCTGGGGCTAGCTTTCACTACTGTTGCAGCTGTCGCTTTCTTTGGACTTATTTCTGCTACACCCCTCCTCTCTTCTCCCCCTCCCACTCTTTCTCGCTCTATTGTGTAGCAAGTTCTTGACTTTTTTTTTTTTTCTTAGCTTCGCTCCGCTCGTCACTCTGCTTGTTTGACTTGGCAACAGCTGCAGCGGTAATTTTCATTTTGCTACCTGATGTCCTACTTCATTGCCACTAGCACTAGTGCTCTCTCCCTCTCTCTGCTTCTCTGTTTGCTTCTCTGTTTCCTTTTTTTTTTTGCTACAGCATTTACTATGTTTCCAGCTCCTGTTTTGAGCTCTTTCTTTGCCTCCTTTCTTTCTTACTTTATGGCATAAAACTTGCCTCAGCTTTTGTGTTATATTTGCACATAAATCACACAAGTTTCTGGAAATTATTTGCTGCTGCTGTTGGTTCTCTTTTTAGCCTTTCCTTTCCTTTATTTGCGTGAAAGTAGCGAAAGTGTGTGCGTCGCTACGTTTCTGTTGTCCACAGTGATTGCCATTTTGCCCGATTTGGATCCACCATTTTTTTCTTTTTTCTACACATTTAAAGGGAAATTTGTACAAAGCGAAAATCACAGATACGGCACTCCAGCCAGCCAGCCAGCCAGCCAGCCAGCCTCACACAATTTCCATTAGCAGCTAATGAAGCATTAAAAAAAGTGACAAAAAAAAAAAAAAACGAGGAGCAGGCAGAATAAAAAAAAGAGCCAGAGCAGAAGCCAAAGAAACAGAGAAATACGAGTACTTAACGCCATATTTCCAAGGAGCTCAAAAAGCACAGCAGCCGTAAAATGAAATAAAAGGAAAGGCAAAAAAGAAAAGCGATGCCAACCCCACGCCCAGTGAGTGAGCAGAGAGAGAGAGTGAGAGAGAGAGTGGTGGGGAGTGGACAGAGTAAAGTGAGCTCTCGCTGAAAATATAAAAGCATCACGAATTAAATACCTTTTAGCAATTAATCTGCTTAGCTAATGGACGTTTCCCAATGCGGACTGCGGACTGCGGACTGCGACATCGAATGGCAGGCAGGAGAAGGATGAAGGCAGGACTTACATTAGGCTTATGGCCAGGCGGTAGGCGGTAGGCGGCAGAGACCAAACCAGTCAATGGAAAAATCTCTGCATCGAATGGCTACTCTAACTATTTGTCCGTCTAATTTCATTCAATAAACTCGCGCCACATCCCCCTATCCCCTACATTCGATTGGCTTGGCCATTGATGCCAATGTTCTCGCTGCTCTCTATCCGTCCGTCTGTCCGTCCGTCTGTCTATCTGTCTGTCAATGCTTTCAGCACTTGAATGTTTGCCTTTTGACCGGGGCTGACTGTCTGCCTTGGCATGCCATTTATTTAGTTGCTGCTCCTTTTATTTTTAATTGACGCCGCCAGTTGGTTTTTAATATCACTTTGGAGGAGCTTCGATTCACATTCGATTCGATTCGTTGCGTTGCGTTGCTTTGCGATTTGATTTGATTTGAGGCCACTTCGATTAATTAAGCTATTCATGTCAAAGTTCAGCGTCTGTTTAAATTTAAATTATCGGTAGACGGTAGATGTGAAAAATCACTCTAAAAATGCTTAAGGAAAGTGTAGCTGCTGCTCTATTAATAGGCTTTTTTTGTATTTAATGCATTCTGGTAGCCCATTGATAACGCTGCTTCCGAATCTTGTTTTTAGGAAATTAAACATCTTCACAGATATATATCTGTGCCATAGTCATGTATTTTGATATCTGCAACGACAATCTGGCAACAATATGAGCATACGAGTACCGAACAGCAAATGCTATCTATATTTGAAAAGTATTCCAATTCGACATTCTATACCAGCGGAGAAATGGGCCATGGGGCATTGACTTTGCCTCACAGGGAGTCGAACTTTAATAGTTTTTAATATTTTTGATTACATTATACACTTTAATACATAAGTATTTTATCTGCAAATACTGTCACAGAAGACGTAAAATTTTTTTGCCTACAATAAACTGTCAGAAAATAATAAAAAATAATTATAATATACATATATAAATAATTATTATTATTATTAAGTATATTTTATATAAATATAATTATTTTGGCCACAAGAAAACTGTCAGAAAATAATAATAAATAATTATAATATATATAAATAATTATTATTATAGTATAAAATATTTATATAATAATTATTATTAATATAAGTATAATATGAATTATGTCCTATATTTCACACCCAAAAAATGTTCTCTTCTCAAAACGAATTCAATCAACATTAGAGCCATTCAGCTATAGAAATCTTCCAGTGGGATTAAAACCCCACTGTTTTTTCCTAAAAACTAAAATTAATGTCATAGCTCAACTATTTATGAAACATTTACTAACCATTTTCTAACCATTTTAATAATATATTTGACTCATTTAAGTACAATTTGTTAGTGCAGCTTATGGCACTTCTTTTGAGGCATCACTACACCATATAACATAACATACACATTTAATCCATTTTCCATATGTATATTATATGCATTTTATGATGTTTCGTGTTTCGCTTTTTTGTGGAGTGAAGGCTGCGTAACATTTTTCGCCTGACGTCTGTTCATTTGTAACATTTATGCCCTGCTGTTTTATTTATGTGGCAGGCAATCATATATTTCATGTTATTATATATTGAACATATACTTATGTTGCATAACAACCCGGTCCGAGTGGCAGGGCAGAGGCAGAGATGGAGCCAGAGTCAGGATTGGGCTTGGGTTTGGGTGCGTTGGCTGAGTCGCATAATGATAAATCATGCCTTGGCTTCAGCTCTCTCTCTCTCTCTCTCTCTCTCTCTGCCCCGTTGCTCATTGCTCTGCCTGTCATAAACAAAATACATTTGATTGAAATGATGTTGCTGCTGGTTGGCTGTGTGGCATGGCTATCCCCTACCTGGTATACTCCTTGACTCCTACTTTGTGTTGGACCTCCCTCTGGGCGGGTTCTCCTGCCTTATCCATTAAAGTTTCACCCACTTTGCCACAGTTAAATGAAGCGATCCAGATAAGTGAAATTAACTTTTATACCCACCCACCCACCCACACACTCATTTCGATTATTTCCATTTTGATTTTTTTTTTGGTGCCCTTTGTTATTTATGCCCATCTCAAATTCATTGGTTTATTGTTTTTGTCAGCCTGTCTGACAGAGCCAGAGCCGGTTGCCCAGCCTGCCACTCACCCTCTCTCTCTCTCTCTCATCTCTGCATGCATATACATATATCCCATCAAAAATGCGGTTGTTTTGATAGTTCGCCCAGCACTTTGTTTGCTTCAATGTCCTACGGAAATCAATTGCCGCAGCAATTTTGGTTAACGGTTGATTGATATAAATAATAAAGTAAATCTGACGACTGGACTCTCTCCGGTGGCAAGTCGAGCAGAAGCAATCGGCTACAAGTATTTTGATGGCTTATACACCAAACCGCAATGGAGAAAATGTGCGCAGAAAACTGGAATGTGATTGGAATATGTCAAGTTAGACTTGCGAGAAGACAAGTCAAGGATATGGCTGGGTATATATTTTAAGGGTATTTAATCTGCCTTAAATCTGAATGCCACATATCTGTGGTTCCAAATATTGAGGAGTTTATATTTTAGTAACATCTGTAGAAGGTTGAAATTTCTAGTAAAAGTTTATTTGCTATTCAATTATCATATCTGTAGCTGGAATAATATTTTATTTTATTTATATATATATATATATATTTATTATTTTTATTTATATTTTAATAATAGCTGTAGATTCATTCAATAATCATATCTGGAAAAATATTTTATTATATTTAATTATGTACATATGTATATATTTATTATATTATATTATATTTATTATATTTATATTTTAATAACATCTGTAGAAGGTTGAAATTTCTAGTAAAAGTTTCTTCTGCATTTAATTGTCATATTTGTAGCTGCCATAATATTTTATTTTATTTATATTTATATTAATTATTTTTAATCATTTTTAGAAGGTTGAAGTTCTTCTTCCATTCGATTATCATATCTGAAGCTGGAATACAAATAATATGCAGATGGTGTACCTTTTGCCGTTTGTTAAAATTCATTCACTCCTCTCCCTTTCTCTCTCTCACTCTCTGTCATTTGCATCTGTCATTTACTTGTGTTGTCCATCACCGAATGCTTTTCGTTTCCTTCTTGCCAACGAACTCATTTTCTCTGCATTCCAAGAACGAAGAACCCTTCAAGCATTTTGGGTACAATAGAAAAATCATGTCAATCATATACAGTTTCAGTTATTCCGCAAAGTCAAAGGGAAAGAAAAAGTTTGCAAAAAAAAAAAAAAGTTGCATGATGAATTTCCAGCAGTCAGATACAAAACAGTTTTGTTGTTGCTTATTCTGTTTGTGGAGCTATAGCCAGCTCTGAGTGTGTTCCCTGCTCCTGTTCCTGTTCTCTGTTCCTGTCCCTGACCCTATCTCTCGTTATTTCACTTCCGTTGGCCCTGTCCGTGACCCCATCTACGACTGCTGCTCTTCCGTTGTCTCTATGCCAGCCCTGACCCCCAGCACTACGACTCTTTTCTCTTCTGATTTCTCTGTCTCTGTCTCTGACCCCCTGACTCTTTTCTTCTGATTTTTCGTGTCCCTGTACCCCCCCATAGCTCTGACTCTTTTCGCTTCCGTTGACTCTGACTCTGTTGCGCATATCTTTGCATTCTTTTCCATCAGTCTCTTTTGGTTACCCTTGCAGCGGGTATTATGATTTTAATTTGATGTTAGAACCTGATCGAACCTGATCTAAGCCATATTTTTGGTGCAGAATGTAGAGTAGAGATCGGTTTATTACATAAAAGATCCCCCCATGGGAATGAATTGTTACGAAAGTGTATCAAAAGCTTCGTCTGCCCCTCCAGACTGGCCTTTATTTATTGTTCTTTTCTTTTTTCTTTTTGTCTATTTTATTAAAGTGAAAATGAAATGAAATAAAATATTTGGCTCTTGATTTATTCAGAAATCTCTGTGGAGATTTTTATGATGGAACAGGAGATGGATCTGGAATTGTTGAGTGGAGGGTGGGTGGGGGGGCTATTGTAACTTGCTGCGTATCTGTGCCTGTGTCCTGTGCGTTTGTTATTAAATAAATTGACTGACACACACACACACACACCGACAAAAGGGCGGGGGGCGGGGGCTAGCATCATCCTTCAGTCAGTCACAGCTGAGAGCAGAGTCCAGTCCGAATCGGAATCCGAGTTCAGAGTCCTGTCGAGTCGAGTCGAGAGTCCTGCTGCTGCTGCCCAGGCCCAGGCCCAGGCCCTAGGTAGTTCATCATGTCATGAAAATTGTATGGAAATTTAATTGAAAACATAAGCCAAGGATAACAGGCCAAAAAGGACAGGCAATCACACACACACACACACTCGTACAAAATGGCGGCCACATAGATGAAGCGTGCGAGCGAGCGAGCGAGGGAGCGAGCGAGACAGGGCATAAGCTTAACAACTATGGCCGCCATCTGCCTGTGCCCAGCCCTGCCCTGCCTGCCTGCCTGCATGCTACCCACAGGAAGTGTACGAAATGATATAAATAAATAAGCAAACTACAAGATAAAGCTATTTGCAATTTGATTGTCAATTTTCATGAGCGAGAGCACCAACAGGCACAGAGAGAGAGAGAGAGAGAGAAAGAGCTCGACAGAGTGATAGAGACAGACAGACAGACAGACAGACAGACAGACAGACAGACAGACGAGAGGTTTTGTTATTGTGTGGGGAAAAGTTGAGTCAGGAATTGTCAGGACATTTCCGCCGCACGAAACGAACGAAACTTTTTTGCCCCACAGGCAGCCCCGTGTGTGTGTGTTTGTGTGTGTGTCTCGGTTCATCTGTCAGTGGTTGAAGTCATTTACTCATTGATGCAGTCAATCAAATTTCATGAATGATTTTCGGTTAGGCCAAAAGAAAACTTTTGCCTCGCTCACTCGCTCTCTGGCTCTCTTGTCCATTTTCATTTACATTTTGCCGCTTGATTGCCTCAAATGCCATTTGGCCGTCGTTTTCATGTCCATCTCAATTTGGTTTGCTTGCTTGCTGCCTGCCTGACTGCCTTGCCCGCTGCCTGCCTGCCTTCTACCTTTCAAGTCGAAAGTTTAATTGCATTTTCATTCAACAAATTCGACAAATTATTATTTTCTAGTTGAAGCATTTTTCCACACAATTAAAAAGTGGCGCCAATTTATGAACTGCCCACCCCCCCCGTGCCCGGTCAGCCACTGAAACCACTGAGCCACCACCAACACTCATCCTAATGATCCACTTCAAAAGCCAACGCTGGCTACTGCTACTCCCCCCCCAACCAGTCCCACAGTCCGCGGGGTAGAAAAATGTGAAACCTAATTAAAAAGCGCTTAAATGCTGGGGAAAGAAGAACTCCACTGGTCCGCTGGCCGTGTGCTAATTTCATAATCCAAATAAAGTTTCAATTAATTTGGCCAGCGAACAATTTAAACATAAATTTTTCTTCTCTTCCATACCCTGGAAAATTCAAAAGACTAGCGGGTATCTAGAGGGAGGTATGCAACGACATTAAAGCAAATCATTTTACAATTAAATTGATTTTAGTGCACTTTAAGTCAATTTAGTTACTATAATTAATTTACATACAAAAAGATTGCAGCGGAAAGCGATCAAGTGTCGTTTTTCAGAGCGTGTCCTTGCCAAAGAATAAGTGTTAGAAAATACATATCGGAGCTCATATTGATCTAAGTGCGAGGATATGCAATTAATAAAATGATTTCCATAACAAAAAATGATACAGCAATACACACCTTTTGTGGACAGTTTAATATTATTCCTGTTTCATATTTAATACAAAAATCCTACTCTTTGCGTAGAACTTTTTTTGCTGTGTAAATCTTGAGTTAAATCTTGCCAGTGACACGTTTGACACTGGGCTGTGGCCCAGCAGGAGGAAGATTAGCAGAAGCCGCTTAGCAGAAGCGTCGCATCCAGCAGATACAAAAATTTAATAGAATAAATAGCAGATTTTGTTATTCCCCTTTGGCATCCCTATATGAGGTCTGATATTATTTAAGCATTATTTAATATAGATGCAAAACATTACCCAAAAGTGTGTTTTGTGTGAATTCTTGATAATTATTTGCAGCAGCAGAAACAGCGGAAAAAAACAGTTGGGAGCAATTGAAGTCAAATCCCAAGGCATTCCCACCAAATTGCATTTTGATCTTAAAATAAACTTGAGTAATAAGTATATTCTAGTCGGATGCCAAGCGGACTCCTTTCATGTTTTCTGTTAAAAAAAATAAAATAAAAATAAAAGAAAATTCGTGGCAACCCCTAAAAAAAATAATAAAAAACCAACTTTTTTGTTTGTTGGCGAAGCATTCAAATTGTTTGCCTTGAATGAGTGAGTAATTATAAATTGGGGGGCAATTCGCAGCTCAAGGTTTTGGATCCCTTTTTTCGTGCATAATAAGGGGTGCCCTGCTTGGGATCCAAAGTGTTTTTTTCATAGGTGAATGATATTTGTATTACTGTTAATTTTGGGCGGTAGGAAATGAACCTTAAAGTGGTTCTTCAACTAGATGCCTGTTTACATACCTGTGTTATGTGTTCAGCTATTTTCAGTAATATATTCCATTTTAATTTTACAATAATTTTGTACTCACATTCTAAAAATAAAAGAAACAAAAAATAAATTAAGAACAATTTAGAATTTACAAATTTGAATGTTTTCCAAACGGTATACTTTGATCAATTTTTTCTAGCAGACAAAAGCAATCCAATTTGATCCTAAAAAAATTATTAAATATATTGGTATCCATCGGGAATCCACTCTGCACTCTCCCAATTACCAAAAATGTCTTTGGAGCTCTCCCTTCCTCTTTCCCTGCTATACGCGCCCACATTCAACCCCGGGAATGTCCCTCATCGCATCGCATCTGTCGTCTCGTTTCGTTTCGTTTCGTCTAAGTGATTGCGATTTCTGGTCCAGTCTGACATTCGCCGTTTTGCCATTTGCCCGTCTACTGCGTTTTGGGCCAACTTAATAAATGGCTGACATTTAAAGCGCATTCGCCTCGCACCCCCCTCCTGTACCCACTACTGTCCCTGCTGTCGTGTGGTTGTTCGTCTCCATTTCCATTGCCAGAGCTTGACGTTTTTTCTGAGCTTTTGTTTCATAATATAACGTTACATTCTGCGGGCGCTGCACACACACACACAAACACACACACATCCGTCTGCAAGCGTTTAAAAATAATTTCACTGGCTTCCGGTCGGTCCTCTTCTCTCCTTCTCACCCTCCCAGTGTGCGCTTTGACTGTCAGGCAGCCAAAAAGTATGCTCATATATTTTAAAAAGCATTGCCATAGTCCGTCCGCCCCTTGATGCTCCTTAATAACCAAACACAGAGGGGGTTAGCGATGGGGGTGACGGGGGGCGTGGGTGTGTGGGCACAAAAAATTTGTTGCATACTTCCACGTTGGGCAGGCGACAGGCAACAGACGATGAGGATTACGTCGAGGCTCGCATTTCTTTTATTTATAGGTTGACGCGACGCGGTCTCGACTATATGTATGTATATTGCCGCTATATAAACACACACTCATATGCACACAAGCACACACATTTGGGCATACAGCACACAATACAACACATAAATACATATTTGTGTATATCCCTCACTCATATCCGGTTTTGGTTTGGTCGCATTTCCGTTTCAAAGCTTTTTTCTGCTGCTGTTTGATTCTCGGTGAAAAATTGCAATCCTGATGAGCTGCAGGGTAGTGCTGTGGAGTGGGCGTGCTTGTGTGTGTGTGTGTGTGTGTGTGGACTTGCAAAATATGCTCGAGTGGTTTATAATTTTTGCTGCCAAACCTTTTTTGCTTGTTTTTTTTTTTTTGTGGGTGTCATGGGGTTAATGTCATGCCATACAACGAGATGCGTTTCAAGTGGGGGAGGGGATTGCTGTTTCTGGGGGTAGGGCAATTCCCCCCAGTTGAAACGAGTTGACAATTGGCGGGTTGAAAGGGCCATCATTTGTTTTGGCTCTTCCAACGAGGGGTCGTGCGCTTTTTTTTTTTTGGCGACGGCTCTAGTGGTGGTGGTGGAGCAACATTTATGGGCGTATTTAAATATCCAAGTGGTTTTTAATGAAGCGTAACGGGGCTTCCCCCAAGAGAGAGACACACAGAAAAAAAGGCAAGCATGGGGCGAATGAATGATGAATAGAACGTGTCTGGGGAGAGGTACGAAGTATAGTATGTCTGCAAAAGATACTGTTGTGGCTGGCTTGGGTCGTTACGAGTGGGGTGCCCCTATATCCCCATAGAAACTTAAGAGGAAAGATCTAAAAGAGATCTCTATAGAGCCTTAAACTAGTCGTTTTCTAAACAAGAATTAATGGCTGCTTACGAACTTACGTACGAATTTTCAAAATTAATTTTTGGGATAAGCTTTTAAATTTAATCGAAATAAAATACTATTTTTGTGATTGAGTGCAGCAAAAAAATAAAACTATGTGGTATGGATATTTGATTAATTTTAAAAAATATATACAGTTACTTCTTTTAAACTAAAATCGATTGGCAGTATTTGTTATATGGAAACCTTTAAGTTATGTTTAGAGCACAGTTTCGTATATATTTCCTTGCATTTGATTCGTTGTTGATTCGCCATTTCCCCCCAGCAGTTCATGATACCAGAACCCCATTCTCGATTCTGCATTCAACAAGGACCAACAGAGAGAGAGTCCACCAACCATTATTCAACAAATTTATATTTATATAGAAATAATAATGCCGAACGCGTCGCTGGTACTACCCACTCCCACACACACCGACACAGAGAGAGAAACACACACCCTACCATTCAGAGTGGAGAAACGCAAAAATACAAACATTAAAAGTCCATTACCATTGCATACTTTTCAGCAGCAGCAGCAGCAGCGTGAGACACTTTTTGCCCCAACTCTACCTCGCTCGTCTCTCACTCTTCCTCACTCCTTCACTCGTTTCTGAATACATACATTTATTTGACAATTTCAGTTTATTTTTATGAGTGTGTGCCCCCAACCAGCCAACCTTTGAACCCCCCAACGCGAACCTAACACACAACACACGAACAAATTTTCAGAAAATATTACGTATACGCCTCGACATCTGCATGTGTGTGTGTGTTTGTGCCACAAAATGTATGCAATGTATGTATGTTCTTTTTGGTGGTAGGGAACAAAAAAAAAAATGAAAAAAACGGAAATGGAGCTCTGTATTGGCGCCTCCAACATCCGCCCTGGCAAAATATTTTTTCAATCTTTTTTTTTCAGCTGCTACTGCTGTTGCTGTTGCTGTTGCTTTTGCATTTTTTTTTTTTTGTGGCGCTTCTACAACTTTTGCACTAACTCAAAATGGCAACAATCTCTGGAACCAAAAAGGTTTTTCGCATGCAACTCTATTAATTGTTTTGGGTTTGGTCTGCGACTGGCAAATAAACCATAGCCACGGGATGTTTTGCACTCCATTTCAGAGTTGATTGTGTTAAATGACACCTTTACACCACGGTGAGGGGCTTTACTGTACCCGCCAGCGAACTTTTAATCAAATTATAAACTTTAATGTATACGAAAATAAAACGATACCATTTACAGGAATGGAATGATTTGAGCTTCATTTGCTGCTCTCGCTGCCGCAATTAATTACATTTGAGAGCCAATCACATTTGGAGTTTCCCTGGGAGTTTTGCAGAGTGCATTTTCATGGAGTTTTCCCCATTTCAGTTTTTTATATTAATTGAAATGGAGATGTTTTCGAGCAGTTGCAGACATTTTGATTTGTTGAAGTAGAATTTTTCGTTACAGATTTTTGGGTAATTTTGAATTGAATAAACAGCTCAGAGAATTCCTTCAACGCAGCAAGAAAAACCTTTAGGTTATAATTAATATTAAATCGTTTCTTTCAGCTTACGTCAGCAACATCATTTCGCGCTTTTAAAACTGTGTCAAATGTATGTCCTAAACCAAGCTCCACACTTAAAACCCCTTCTCCACGATCCTCTGTTAATAACCTCTCCAAATTAGTTCACATTTTTAATGGACCTTTCGCTGCTGTGGCCGTGCTGTGGTACTATGTCTGAAAAGTGAGCACAAAACAAAGCAAACATTGAGGCAATTTGGCGTTTGCGACCTCAGCGCTGATTATGACGACGACCTGGGCACATTAATGCTGATGAGATGTTGCCGCTAAGTGGCATTCCCAGTACCCATTTCACTTCCATTCCCACAGCAGGAATAGCAGTAGCAGCAGCAGCAGGTAAACAAATACCTCGACTCCTGCAGGAGAATGTTGGGAATATTGGTGAGCTCGACAGAGCCCGAAAAATGTGCAAAAATGGGAAGCAGCAGAATCTTAGCGGTTGCCATGGCAGCACCCAAAAAAAAAAAAACACTCTGGCACGGAGGTCTCTCACACTCTCTCACACTCTCTTACACTCTCTCTCTCTGTTTCCCTCTTGACTTTGCAATTAAATATGCACATTCTCATTAAAAGTTTGCGCCATTAATAAACGCCAACAGGGATGTAATTTAATACGGTTAAAAAGTACGACACGTGTAGGGTAAGAGGAGTCAGCGGCCCAGAGTCAGAGTCAGCCGAATACTTACGAGTACGAGTATATGCTTTGGTGGGTGGATTGGGTGCAAAGCACACTCCACACACACACCACACACACACTTACACACACACACTTGCTTTTCCAGTCATACATTAAATATGCAGCCATGTGGGAGAGATCCAGCTCCGAGCGCTAGCCCATTCACCTGGCTACCGTCTCCCGTCTCCCGTCTCAGTCGTGAAAACAAAGCTCATAAAATTTGCAAATGTAAATAATTTTCTTAACGAAATTTTCACGTTCCTTGCCGTCTGGCTGTCTGGCTGTCTTGGACCACATTAAAGCTGGCCATGGACATGGCTGCAAATTTGTCAAGTGACAGTCCTGCCACGGACACGACAGCCACAGAATAGGACACGACACATATGGCCAGGGCTTGAGCCCCTCACTCCTCCTCCTCCTCCTCCTCCATCGCCTGAGCATAAATAATTGAAAATGTCTCACGGGAATTGTCGTTCCTTTTTGGCTTCGTGTGAACTTTGCCAGCCAACAACTTGGCCTTAATATTAGAGCACAGCCCACAGTCCACAGCCCAAAAGCGATGTCTTCCTAAAGGGTATTTCCAACAACAGGGAAAAACGGGGAACTCCTCCACCTCGTTAGATATTTTATTAGTAGTATTTTGTATGCAGTTATTTCATTTCGTTATGGAATGAATGGTTCTGCTCCTATCTTTACGTTATGTATGTTATGTAGCTGTAAGATTTGATGCGATAAGATAAGATATCAACTGATTGATGGCCTATCAGTCACGTAAGTAATTTGCTAAAAGTAAAAAACAGCCAGATACACATCTCATTACATTAGTAAAAACGTAAACGTTCGTTTGTCACTTCCGTAAGGGCATACAAAATTCGTAGAGGAATTTCATTTCTTTAGGCTTTGCCGTGCCGTTTGTAGTGCCTCGTAAGTAGTTTCCTCAAAGCCCCACGCCTGGAGGCCTCAAGTCGGGGGTGGGGCACACACACACACACACACACATTAATTGCATACAACTAGGCGCTTTGATGGCAAAAAATGTTGACAGCTTCGCTTTTCTTGGCCCA